ATATTCAGATTATCAATTGTGATTGTGATCATTTTTTTACGTATTTTAAACTCGTCCAAAAATCAGTAAAAAATGCAAAGAAAATACACATTTCTTGAACTATATTGAAAAAAAAACTAATTATATTTGGTATGTATTATTTCTGCATAGTTAATAATTATTAAATTTAGAGTATGTACACCACTAGGTATAAAAAAAGCCTTAAGATTTTCATTCCAAAGTAAATGTTGCTTTAATTTTTCATATTTGTTCCATTTCGATAACCCTAACCACGCATGTCTTCAACATTCACAGTTCATCAGATGAGAAACATTAGCAACAAAAACAAAAGTTACAATTCAATTTTCCAAAATAAACATGCCATTTTCTAAGCACTGACTCCCCATTTTTCAATTTCCCGATTATAATTTGTTTATATTTTTTATAAAAGTTTTGTTTCAACTAAATCAGCTCGCAACTTTTCGTCGATAATGACCAATAATTAATGTAATCTTTCGCAGGTTTGCGCTTACGGGATTGAACACTAGATAATTTCTTTTTCGATTCAAACAAAAAAAAATTGAATAAGTTAGTTTGTTAGATTGTTTTTAGATTTTATATAAATAATAAAAAATATAAATAATATGTTATAAATTTAATTTCCAATACTCGTTTTGGCGCCCCCTAAGCCATGCGCCCGCATTTTTTGCATGCATCAAGGCATGGACCGGCCCGGTACATATATATATATATATATATATATATATATATATTAGGGTGGTCCTTAAAATGGTCATTTTCGAATTTCCTTGCTCCCAGGGGCTCAAATGGTTCCAAATAGATAAAAAACAATTCTCTGAAAGTTTTAGCTCTTAATGTTAACGTTTAGATAGAGCGCAATTCAATCAAAGTTTTGTATGGAAATAGCATAGAAAAATTTTCAAAAATTTTAAAAATGTTTTTTAGATGTAATTTAGCGAACAAATGAATGGATAAAACTCATTCATTTGTCGCTAAGTTATACCTAACACATTTTTTTTAAATTTTCAAAATTTTTTTCATGCTCTTTCCATACAAACGTTGATTGAATTGCGCTCTATCTAAACGTTAATATTAAGAGCTAAAACTTTCAGAGAATTGTTTTTTATCAATTTGGAACCATTTGAGCCCCTGGGAGCAAGGAAATTCGAAAATGACCATTTTAAGGACCACCCTAATATATATATATAGTTAATACTTTCATGTTTTTTATAAAACAAGGTATGTTTTTTCACACACACATACTTTTTACAACTTTGGTCTCATTCGATTCGGAATGGCTTGAAACGTCGAGAAAATCGGATTTTTTGGCGAAAACAAACTTCTCTTTCGGGAAGCTAAAAAATGTAAGTCCCCTACACACGTCTCCTACTTATCACCACTTTCCTTTTTATTACTTATTATTATAATTTATTACAGTCAAGCGTAATTTTTTTACAAAATTGTATCAAGTGTCATTGTGGAAGAGCAATTTAACAATCTCGTCCATGCTATTAAATTTGGTGAATGTGTTAAGATACTCGGTACACCCTTTGGCTTGATACTTGTTAATCTTTCACTCAGTCGCTGAAGTCCGAATAAAAAATCCCATTTTTCTGCGAATGCAAAATTTCAAGCGGCGGGTTCCAGGGGGTGTAATTTTGTCCATTTTTCGCTTAGAAAAGTAGAAAATCGTGTTTTTAAAATTTTTACTTTTTTCTATGAGAATTTTTAGTCAATTTTTTGCGTTTTCAGGCTTTATTTAAAAACGTTATGTTGACCTCAATGACAAGTTCATTTATATGAATTTCAATGACGTAGTCAAGGAAAGTGTAAATTCTATATAATACGTCAAATTACAAATGTTTTTAGATATTTAAACTTTTATTCGATTTAAAAATATCAATTGGAAATCATGGACAATTGATTTTTATATAGAACTATGTATTTTTATAACAGCTTTAATAGATATTTTTAAATATTTATTTAAATATTTTAATATTATTTAAATATTTTAAGTAAAATTACACATATCGATATGACGCCAAATTCAAATGCCACTAGGCCATCGTGCTACATGAAAATTAACGATATATATATATATATATATATATATATATATATATGTTATTAGATGTGTATGTATTATTTGAGTTTGAAAGTCGGGCGTTAAATCAATAAAAATAGCATAAAAGTTTTTAGAAATTTATTCAAAATCCATACTTTTCGGCTAGCATCTTAGCCTTCATTCAGTAAAATTAAAGCTAAATAAATAATATGTAAGAAATTTCATAGAAAAACAAGAAAAACAATAATAATAATAATAATAAACACTTACAGTTTTGTATAACAGATGAAAACATCATTACTCCATGGTATGAGCATGTGCACAGTGGTAAAATATATTTTTTTTAATATCACAAATGGCAAAACACACAAATAAACACGAATAACTTTTAATAATTTGTCGAAACTATGTATTGACTATTCGGAGTCTGTCTTCGAATATCACATTTTTTCTTGAAGCAGTTCTTAACATATTTTCAAATTTTACGAAAAATGTAAAAAGCGATAGGACCTTGTCATTTTTTAAGAAATTTTGACACGCTATTTAGGAACCACGTGTTTGTTTCGTTCAGGGCCGTGTTGTTAAATCGTTTGTTTATGACCCCTGTCGTTATGCAATTGGAAAAACAACTCCTCAGCGAATCTTCTTTTATTCCTTTCGAGACGGTATTCAATAGATCGGTTTGTGTAATATTTTGAATATGTGATATATGTTGAAATAAAAATTTAAAAAAATATTTTAATTAATAGGGAGGCGGCTGTCGAGGCTATTTAACCATTGTACCGTCGGTACTTTTTGTTGGTACACATTTGGACCAACCGTTCTATAAAAACAATAAAAAATTATACATGTGCCACAAATCTAACTTAGTAATGAATACAAAATGTGTGAAACATAGTTATATTTGTTGGAACATTCTTGTTCACTGTAATAACTAACAATGACCGAAAAACGCAATTAGTTTATATATTTTATTCAAAATACATAGTATAATTTTAGCAACGTGGTCTGGGCGGACAAAAAACAAAACGCGACTGGTTCCAAACTAAATTATGTGTTATGGGCCATATGTGTTTTATATCGCAGCTAAACATTTAACATTACGTCGTTGCATAAACTGCATTGCTTTCATTCATAAATTCAACTGTCTAGAAATTTTTAAACTTGGTGGTACATACGTGTACCACGCGTACCGAAAGGGTTAATTACGTTCTCTTCAAAATGTAAAATTTTTGAGTTAAAAAAATGTATATTATGATTTAAATTATTTGTACGCTCGGTTAACATAGTTTTGAATTGTTTGGTATTTTTATGTTGATGAAGGCATTTACTAGTTTTGGCTAGTTTCTCCGATATAAAAAAAGTTCACAGTTAGAACAATTAATCTGATATACTAAGTTCCTGAGGCGGCCAGAATTATACTTAGAATTAATTTGTGTAAAAATGGAACTAAGGGTTGTATCGCAATTACACACTAACAAAAGGTCACATTGTTGAAACAACTTCTCCACGAAAAGATTTGTATTTTTGAGCGGTTAGAGCGAGCGACTACTGGAGGCAGGACTCTGGAGGCAGAACGTGAGGCGTATCGAATCCTCGTGAACGAGACTCTGAAGCTGAAAAAATAGAGCAGTGGTCGCTGGTTGTTGGAGCACGCGAAGGATCCTGAAACACGCAAGATGTACAGATTTGTCACAAAATGCAAAAAAAAAACAACACCAAAAGGAAAAAAGAAGAAGAAGGAAGGGGAGAGACGGACCTAAAAATATCCCTTAAGTCAGGATTTTTCTTCCAGGTTTAGCGTTGAAACTTTTTTACGCTTTTAGTACTCCCTCACACCAAATCTCAAAGTCAACACTTGAATAAAATAAAGATCCACTATGAAATTATCACAACAAAAAAACTTTACAGAGACATATTTAAAAACATGCCAAAAATTTTTAAATATGCCCCAGTAAAATTTTCTTGTCATGAAATTTTGAAAGCAGACCTCAATTATTCAAATGTTAGCTCCGGGTTAATATAGCATGCAAAATTGACTCGTCTGTCATCATCAAAAAGATTTCAGTGAATATACAGTTGAATAAATTAATCAAAAGAATGATTTAATCAATTTTAATTTATGATATAATATTAATCAAATAAAAAAAAAAAATACATTATCTTAATCAAATCAATGTTGACATGATTTGTTGCAACATGTGAAACCCTTACAATTAATCGAGACAAAAACGTATGTAGTTGACTTGAACTTTTAAAATAAAACTACAAAAAAATAAATCTGGAGAAACATATCGAGTCTTTTAAATATTTTGATCAAAAGCAGCATTATCATCAATGAGATGAAGTAGCGTGTTATGCAAATCCGTGTTATAAGAGAAAAAGTATTAGTACAAAAAGAGGGGTTACGTTACAAGATTTCAAAAAAAAAAAAAAAACATTCTAAATATCATGATTTTTTACTAAATATTGTTATATTTATTATTTTTTTTAAAGAAGTAATATACATTACGTGAATAATATGATTTAGTCCTATTTAACAGGTAAGTGCTAGACAACACAATCATTTTTTTTTTGTGCAAAATATATTCTTCCTCTGAGCAGTTTTCTGTACTACCTCCAGATCTGTGCATTATCTTTTTCAAAAAAAATATATTTACGATTTCTTGCTTTTATTGAAAAGATATTTATATATTTACCATTTGCAAAGTTATTTTTATTAAAACTTTATTCTCATTTTATTTAAAGAATGAAAGGATTTGTTTAAGACTAATTGACTAATTGTTCGGTTAAGCCTAGATTTTTTTTTTTGATAAAACGTACGCGCATGTTTTGCATTAGCTTCATTACATTTATTGAGCTATTGTACGACAATTTTACTAATTTTAGATTAAATAAAGTTTTCATAGGTTTTGCTATATTTTTTATTTTATTAGGGTTTTGTTCAATTCTCAAACAGTGTTAGAGCAAACTCGTGCTTTAACAGCACCTAACATAACAGTGTTATGAAGGGGATGGTCTCAATTCTTAAACCGTGTTATGCGAGGGTTACCTGTATATATTTCCAGAAATATATTCTTTGATTTGCATTGTATAAAACATGTTTCAGCACTTACATTGGAAAAAATCCTTTGCAGCAGCTCTCAGGACACACAGTCGATACTTAAACCACTTTTGGAGCATCTGCCAGAAAGAGAAATCTTTAGTACTCGACACAAAATCACCACTTTCAACGCATTATGTAGCTATATCTGTTACAAGTCTATCAAAATGTTGCAAATATCCAATTGAAGTTTCTTCTTCACACAACAAATAATAAACGAATTACATTAGAGACTTTTGTGAACTTAAAATTTGATAATTAACAGATATGTGGTAGAAGTGCTCAAGATAACCTACAATTCACATACACATATAAATTATACATTTAATAATTACATATATATATATATATATATATATATATATATATATATATAAAATATATATATACATATATATACATACATACATATATATACATATATATATATATATATATATATATATATATATATATAAAGGATACGTTAGCTGTAAATAAAATGTTTAATTATAAAATTGATTCAAAATGCCCTGCCTGAGAAAATTATGGCTATTCAAGATGCACTTAAGCACTTTCGCATATATCCATTTTTTTCGCTTTTGATGATTGTTTAACGACGATTTTTTTAAATCAGGTAGTTCTACTAAATTAATTAAACAATTTGATGCATAAATTAATTAAATCTTACCAATAATTTAATTAAAAACTCTTAATTAGGATGAGCACATGTACCTTCACGCAAATCTGTGTTTGACAATTAAAGTTAAAATTTGTAAAGTTAGCAAAGTGACCGCCGCCACTTGTACCATTTCAAGAACTAAATTCAAACAGAAAATTTAATCTTAAAAGGAGAACCCGCGCGTTGCTCGTCTCGGATTTTGATGAAACTTGGCACAATGGTAGATTAGATGCCCAAACTGACTGTGGTAAAATATTAGAGGCCTATGAAAAGCGGTTTAATTTTAAAAATTAATTAAAGTTTGCATTGTAGCAGCGCGCGGCATGCATAGCTTGCGATGTTTTTCCTTATCAACAGCAGATTGGCCGATGGCTATCGTCGTGGAATTCTAATTTTTGCTCCGGGGTTCAATTCCCGATTCAGATATATATTTTTTTATTTTTTTTATTTGATATTTATAATTTCACGTGTAAATAATATCAAAATTTATTTGATTTTTCAATTAATTTTATATTTTTTGCTAAATATTCTATAATAAAGTCCTCCGTAATACCGGTAAATTTTTATTTTGATATTACTCATGAAACTTACGATCATATAAATGTTAAGTGATTCCTGAAACATTATAATTTTGTATTAATATCAGCCACTCGGCCAATCTGCTGTTGATAAGAAAAAACATCGCAAGCTATGCATGCCGCGCGCTGCTACAATGCAAACTTTAATTAATTTTTATAATTAAACCGCTTTTCATAGGCCTCTAATATTTTACCACAGTCAGTTTGGGCATCTAATCTACCATTGTGCCAAGTTTCATCAAAATCCGAGACGAGCAACGCGCGGGTTCTCCTTTTTAGCAAAATTCATTTATATTCATCAAAATTGGTTCAAAGTGATTAGATTTGCTTGAAAATATAAAATTCTTCAGTTAAAATTGTTTTTTGACATTATTTTAGCATCATTATCTAATATCTAATTATCAAGATAAGAGACATAATGATCTGAAATCATGCTTAAAAGTTATTAATAGAAATATTTAAATGTACAATTTAGATAGTTTGTAAAACCTCTAAACTATTGAGTTCTCATTTTTTAAATCATCGTCCAAGTCCTCTACAGCTTGCTGCTTCACTAAAAGAAACTTTGAAATAATGCAGCTTGTCCAGAGTACATAATCAAATGCTTGTATGATGCTTTTATCTTGTTTTCGGTTGCGTAGTTGTATCATTGAAATTGAATACAAGAACTTTTTTAAGAGGAAGAAATATTTTTATATACAATTTTTTTATTAAATGATTAAATGTGTCTCAAATTATGATATAAACTAATATAAATTATATTAAATTATTAAAAATTAATTCAGACTAATATCAGTAATACATGATAATCATAATCTCATCAATATGCGTTATATTCAAATTATTACGGTACTTTAGTACTCATCACACACATATATAGAATGCAGTCAGTTGGCAGTATAATAATATTCTAACAGTGAAGAGTCTTCTTAGTACATTTTATAAAGATTATTTAAAATAGTTTTCATACAGAAATATACTGATCACTTATTAAGAAATTTTTCATGATTTGTCAAATCAATTGTCTTGATTTATCTTTGGTCTGCAATAAATAAGCTATACATTATGTATAATGTCAAGTTTTATATAAGACATTTAATTATTTGTTTAAATTGTCTGTTATGCCAACCAAGTTTTTCATTGTTCTTCATATATTTATGTTTAATATGCTGTATTTTGTTTAATTTAGTATCATTATAACTATAATGCAAATGGCCTAAAACAGTAAAACCTCAATCTATCAAATAGTCTCAAAGAAAAATCTCACTTTAATACTATGAAAATGCATAATGGAATTTTTTTTAGAACTAGTTTACTACATTTCAATTTGAATGTATATATAGTAAAATATTAACATTAAACTTGCATGTTTGCAGATGTTTTCTAAAAATGACAGTATAATAGCACATGTAACGCAAATACTACAAATCAAATAATATCTGAATAAATAACACAAAACATCTTTACTTCACAAAAAGTAATCAGCTACATATATATATATATATATATATATATATATATATATATATATATATATATATACATAAAAAAATATTGATTTTGAGATTTATGTTGAAATAAAATTCTTTTTTTTTTATTGATGTTATTTCCGATTATTAGACTAGATTAGATTATATATATTGTGCATGCATGCATGTATGTATGTATGTATGTATGTATATATATATATATATTACGACACAGCTGTGATTGGAATGATTTAGACATCTATGTTGAAGGAAAATGAAATGAAATTCATAAATATTTTATCAATTATATATTATAGCAAATATAGAATAGATAATATATAATCAAATTTTTCTAGTATGACTGTATATATTATGAAATGATTAAATAAATGAAAATGATCCTAAATATCAATGTTATTCACAAATTGTATAGAATACAAATTACATTATTGTTTTTACCTGTATAATGCGTGAGATATGCATAAAAACAATCATTTTCAAGAATAATCTGCCCATGCCAGCTTAATAGAAAAACAAATCCTTCAGTATCTCCCAGAGATTTATAAACTATCAGATTTATTCCCTTACACTCATCATCAATAACACAATAAGTTAGTGAAATAATTGTAGTTATTGCATTGGTCAAAAATAATAAGGGTTGGTTAAAAAACTCTAGGATTGGCTTCACTGACATTATTGATTAGCTCTGGTTAAAGAGCATCACTCTTTTTTGTATTATTATTTATTATATTAATATTATATATAATTTGTCTTCAAAGTACAAAACTTGAAAATCGTGATCTTGTGTCTTAGACACATTTATACATCTACGTAAAACAATTATCATTGGTCTGTCAACAATAAACTGCAAGATTTTAGATCGTTTGCATATTAGATTTTCAGTGCTAAGTACAGACTGCTTATTAACGTATCCAATACATCTGTCCAGCTTATTTACTGCTATATGCTGGCATCTTTTATATGCCAGTAAGTACAAACATAAGTCTATATAACTATTAGCTGCACTCGCATACTACAAAATTAAAATAATTAAGCATAATAACTACACATACGCGATTAAAATATAATATAAGATGAATTATATAAATGAAATAAGTTCATTATAAAAATTATTGTTACTATGATTAGATAAAGACCAGAATATGGGGATATGAGAACTAACATTAAAAAATAGTGTATAAAAAATGGCCTTAGGAGTACAAAGAGTTGAGTCTTATCTCAAAAGCTTATATGTTGTTATGAGTTAAATTTCTATATAGTAATTTTCAAATAAAATGTTGATTATGATCATATGAATAATATGAATCAGAGTAATTCCATATTCATAATAATGTCATAATAAACAATAATATATTAAACTTATATACATAAGTAAAAGATATGTGGTAGAATATTAATTAAGAAGAGCCTGTCAATGACAACCTTTTTCTCTCGAAAGATATAAAGTTTTTTTGATAAAATGCTTAATTTGAACATCAAATGTGTGTTACTACAGTAGAAATGTAACTCATCGACATATAATATGAGAAAGAATTCGTGGGGTTAGGACCATAAGAATATGAATCATGCGTACTAAGGTGGAACATACGGTGGTGGTTTCCTGTATGTTGGGGTTGGCTTTGGACGATTGTTTCGATTGGATTCCGAACTTCTAGAACTAGTAAATGGTGGAGGTGGTTGATAAGGTCCGTTATCATCACTGTCTGCATGCTGAGGAGAATCTAATCCCTTATATTCTGGTGGTGGATGCAGAGGTGGCTTTTCATCTTTCAAGATCAAAGGTGACTTGTTACTAGGATCTGGCTTCTCTTCCAACTCGTCTTGAAATATCACTGGTATTCCTAATTATAAATATTTACATGACGGTTAAATAAAATATTTACATTATTCTAAATTTTATATAATTAATAATATGAAATATGTCAAAATTATGTAAGAATTTTCATCTAAACTTAAGGAAAAGTTAGTGCAGGAAGTATTTTTCATAATTCCATATTTCATTAAATCAATAGAAGCGCTAATTTAGAGTTTTTATTTTTTACTTCGATCTGAAATATATAAATCAATTTTATTGGTTAACAAAATTGAACTGGTGGACATTTATCATCCTTGTAATATATTTATTAACCAAATAAAACTAACCAAATAATAAAAAATATATTATTTTACACAATAGTAATATGATATGATTAAAAATGAAAAATTTATTTTACCTTTATTTCTAAAACTTTGTCTTTCTTCTTCATCACCGAGTTCCATTTTACCTGTTCGTCGTTTTTTGTACAACAAACAAGCAATAAGACTAGCCAAAATTATCATGCCAATGATTATAATTGCAGGTATAACAAAAGTGATAAGATAATCATCATGATCTTGGTTAAGAGTAATTGTTGAATCAATATCAACAGATGTGTCAGGTGAATGAATATTCAAAAACTCCCCTCTACACACACCCGTAGGTGTCATTTTAGCAGATATAACAGGAAAATCACTACCCATTGTTTTTACCACATAGTGGGATAATGAATCATCCTCTCTCAGTAACACTGATTTCAACTCATCAATTCGATTCTGCAAACATTTTGTACCAGTCAGACTTGTGTTTCTCCACGCTACAATAGTTGATCCTTGTCGTATACTATCTATTTTGATGTATCTGGAGTCATGATCATTAAATAGTTCTGTTATTTTATCAACAAATTTTCGCTGCATATTGGCATTATTGATAAAGTGATCATAGGCAATATCAAGAGTAATTTGGAATTCAACCATAAAATCTTTCTTTGATGCTGGGTGTACAGCCACAACCAGTCCGTCAGTTGCAGTTAATCCTCCACGATCTTCACATACCTATTATCAATAAAACAACTTTTGTATTATACAAATCAATGATATATTAAATGATATAGGCAAATCCTGTGAATCAAGACTTAAATCGGTATAAAACAATATAGCTTCAAATTTTAAAATTTCAATAAAAGAATAAGTAAAATAGGTAAAATTTATCAAAATGTAAATTTAAGATATTTAAAGATGTACAAACTAAAATATTCTTTATTAAAAATGACTGATGATTCACTAACACAATATACAGCGCAATAACATATTACTCGGAGTTAGACAAAAACAGTTGTTGAGGTCACAAAGACAATTAAAGAGTCAAAAGAAATGATTAAAAATAGATTGATGTTTCAGAATTTGAAAATAAGAAGAATTACATGTGAATTGCAATATTAACTTATTCATGTAAATTTTGCAATACAACCAATTTCTAAAAACATTTAGAGACTTTAAGTTCAAATGCTCAGTAACTTAAAGATTATGTAGCAGCAACCAATTACAAAAATAATGTACTATTTAATTTATCCAAGAATGATAAAACAAGATTGATCACTTTCATTCAATAACAAGTGTAGTCATAAAGTTTTAATAAACATTGACAATATTGTAATAATAGAGTTCCTTCCAAATATATATAATGCTTATCTAAATAATTTGAACATCTATAAAACATTCATCTTCATATTTGTTAGATTTTAATGTTTTGAATAGATTCACTAAGAATTTATATGTATATAAAATTTAAATGCTTTGATAAAAGCAATAACACCATTATATCCATGTGAAATCAACAGTCATGGAAAGCCACCCTTGATAATCTAGCCCCCTTCTTTTGTAAGTTGTAAATATTTTGACAAAGTATGTATATATGCAATATTTATAAATTATACCTAGCATTTATTCAAATACTTCATATTTACCAAAAGATATTGCCGATGACCAATATCAGATGATGTAGGAATTCCATAGAATTCTTGATTTTTTGTATCAAATTGCAGCCAATGATTTGGTGCTAATGGAGCTCTATCAATATTTAACAAATACATTTTTAATGAGCGACCATTACCATCCTCTGGATCATAGAATGAATCCTGTATGATAAAACAACAATAAAAATATATTCGAAATTAAAATATATATTAAAATAATTTAAGCTAAGTTGAGGCAACAAAATCAGATTTACAAAAATTTTAAAAATCTTTTTTAAATAAATTTTTATATATTAAGGGGCACAACTAGTGTAACCGCCTAAAAAAAGGTGATTTTTGGAAATTTATATTAAAAAAACTACTTAATCATTTCAAAATTTCAGAAATATAATTATACATGTTTCAAGAATATAAAGTAAAAATTTTGCAGAAAAAAATTAAATATTTTTTAAGTTATCGTCGATCTCCAACGGCGCGACAAAAAAAGGCCTTTCACTGCTGCAGTGATTTTGGCCTTCTTACGTGGATGAAATTAAAAAAAAAAAAAATCTCGTTAAACTAGATAATATTGTCTGTAAAATGAACTACGATAAAGAAAAAAAATCAAAAATTGACAAAATGACGGCGTTTTTTTAAAAAAAGTCGAATTTTACCCAAAATTTTGGTCGTTTTTGGACTGCCAAAATTCGATTTTTGATCCGATCAAAAAATCGATTGTTTATTTTACGGAAAACTATATAGAACATGTAAAAAAAATTTGATAGTGATCGGATAATTTGTTTTTGAGTAACCGCAAATTCGGAAAATACTGTTTCGAGAAAAACGTGTTTAAATATTAAACGATCGTTATACTATATACTACATATATATATATATATATATATATATATATATATATATATATATATATATATATATATATATATATTCTTTAAATGGCTGTAACTCAAAAACTATTTAAGATATCGCTTTAAAATTTTGGTATGTTAAAGTTATAACCTATCAAAATATGGAAAAATTGAAAATTCGTTTTTTTGAAAATTTCAAACTAGTTGTGCCCCTTAAAACAAAGGCAAGACAAATGTTTTTTTTTTGTAAAAAACTAATTATTGTAATATTATTTAGTAAGACTATAAAAATTCAATTTTTTTTACCTCAGGAACTTTGTAAACAAGTAATTGTCCTACAGTTGCATTGAGATGATCTACTTGATTCCGGGGCATGGGTGCAAAGTTTTGTACTGGAGTCTTCGGAGGTGGTGGAATATCAGGTGAAGAACACGCACCCACTCCGCCACCCAGCACTGATTTCACACGTAATTCAGGGGCCATGGCACGCACTAGATCGATTGTTGGCTCAGTGCTGTCCACTGATTGACGTACTTTCTACAGATAAATGTTTAAAAATTATAAAGAAATATTTGGAAAAATAAAACATTCCATTTCAATGATTATTTTCCAACAAATCTTAGTTTCATTATATTCTACCTGGTATTGTTGGACAAAATATAATAAAATTTAAAAAAAATGTTATTCTACTTAAAAAATAATGCTGTAATATAAATCAATCTAGCTTAAAAATATTGGTTTATCCGAATGATCAGAAGTACAAGACTGTGCTAATTAAATTGATACTGAATATTTTTATTCATATTCACCTTTAATAAATTTTCAATTTCTTCCCTGGGGCACCTGTTCCGTGGTAATGAATCATTAGTCCACGTAATCTGTAATGGCTGCACTACCGTTTGAACATGGGTGACTATAATTTGTGAAAAATCAGGATCACCAAATACTTCAGCCAATCCTAAACAAAAACTTAATTAATAAAAATAAAAATCAAATTATGAAATTAGCAATAATGAATTGACAAGTGAACACAAATACACATTTTCACTACAAATCCAAATCTTTGTGTAAAACACATCTTTGGCGGATATTATTTTACTAGCTAATATTTCTACATAGAAACATAATGAAACCTAATACCCCAATATCTCTTAATTGTTTATTGTTTTGTTGAATTAAAAAGTGAAATAACCGGGCTAATATTCTATTATTTCATAATTATCGTCATAACATTTATATATATCATAAAAGAATCATTTTATAAAGAAAGTACATATAAAATTAACAATATAAAAATAGTCTGTTAGATTGAAAGCTTTTAGAATAATTAGAATTATTAATTTCTTTAGTATAGTTTACCTTGAATGAAATAAAGAGCTTACAAAATATCTCGGTTAAAATGAATACTACACTTTTTCTTTTATATGACAGTTTAAATTTCATCAGATTCACCTGTTTTGTTTTTGTATTACATATAAAGTAATTACCTTGTAATACTCTGAATCGTAAATCTACTTCAGTATTTTTCTTCAATCTTTTTTCTGACTGAACTGCTAATGTTATCTCGTGATTAACGGTTCTTCTACCTTTATGTTGCTGCACTGTTATCTCTAAAATATCGGAAACAGAGGCATTCTGCTGATCACTTGCCGTTATTATGTATTGATATCTCGATATATCTTCCTCAAGTGGTCTATTAAAAATAAAAAATTAGTTAATTTTAAATATACTAAATATAAGAATTTTAAAAATAAATACTAACAATCCATAAACTCTTCTGTTAGCTGGATCAAATTGAACCCAAGAACTGTATTGTAAAGGAGCACCAGTCATATCATGCATAGATAGTCTCAGATTATAGCCGTCCTCTGCATCATGAAAGGTATTTTCTGGTATATCAAAACTAGAATTTAAAAACATTATTTAATGTATATAATATTTTGTTACTTTTTTTCACAACAAACTTTCATTTTATATGATGCATACTTTATCAATTTAAGAAATGCATGAATAAACAGAACCTAATTATACCACTTCATTACCTGAAAGCCTTTCCAGCAGTGACGGGTAATTTTTGAAGCCTGTGTTGAATAATAGGTGCATTATCTTTTATTTCTTGACCTTGATTTGGTACAGCAAAAGAAACATGATTAGTAACTGATGGAAAAACAGTAGTGTTACTAAGGTTTTCTTGGTGATCTAATGTGGTTCCATAGATGTCTGGCTGTGTTGTTAAATGTGATGTGGTATTTTCAGCAGCATTTGATACATTTTCAAAGGATATACCCATATCAATTCCAGAAGTAAATACAGGTTGCAAGTTACTACTTGTAACAGGTGTCATGGAGATATTATGTAATTCTGTATCATCAGTTGTTGGAGTATGTACTGCACTCTACAATAAAAATATGTATGTATTATATAAGTACACATTACTTCGAAAATAGTCTACAATGCATTTTCATTGGATTCAAAAAATAAAAAAAGAACACCAAGACTTTAATTGCATGTTAGGAAAAAAGTCAAAAAAAAAAAACGAGACAAGATCTATATAATAATTTCAAATAAAAATCATGGAGAATATTGTGATCAGATTTTTTGTTAATATCTAGATTAGAGGAACATTTACCCAAAATAGGTTTTTTCATTATGAGCCTTAAGCAATAACAATTTTTTTATCTGACACATATACAATCATAATATTTTCCATATGATCATGTTTCAATTTAATATAATTAATGAATTATATATCTTGAATATTAATTTTTACAATCAAAATATATAATTATCAATATTAATAGTGTTATTCTTAGTTATTTATAATACGCATAGTTATTCTTAGTCATGCTTTCTGGTAAATAGTTTTTGCTTCTCAAATATGAAAACCATCCCATAGAAAGTTTACTTTCAGAGGCAAAGCAATGTACTCGTTCGCTGGCTTGATCACTTTTGTGTGCATCAACAAACATTTTATATTTCATCAATATGGCAACGTTTCTTTCAAATATTCTCTAAAGTTGCTTAATATTGATTAAAAAAACTAAGAAGAATACCTGTTGAACTGTGCTAGTTGGTGTATTTGTATCAATAACTGCCACTATAGGAACTATATTTGTTGCTTCGACAGTTTCATTATCTTCACTTCCCTCTTCATTATAATCATTATAATCTTCATTGCTCTTAGTACTAAGATCTATTTTATTGCTTGATAGTATGCTTTTGTTGAAATTGCTAACATTCAATGTCAGAGTATCTTGTGTTGCTAAAGGCTCTCCTCCTCCAACAAAATCATCAATATCGTCCTGTACATAGATAACATTTTATAAAAAAAAATTATATGTTTAAATTATTATATAAAAAAGAGTGTTTTACATCATGTGAATTAAATAAATCAACCAGATAGTAAAACAGAAATAGCAACTTGCTACACACAAACTTTTATATCAAGATGTTTTAAACATTTCAATATAAAACACAAAAAAATAAAATTGTAAATAAAAACTAAATAACAACAGATGTAAGCAACTGATAAGAAAAAAACAAAACAGTATAAATATATAACAAAAGATACAAGTACAAATATATAAAGTTTTTTGATGAAATATTAATTAGATTATACTGAATATCTTAACCAATTGCAGAATTTTGTTCAAAACATAATAATGTACAAATCACTACAGTATAAAATATTTAGGTGAATTTACTAACAGCAGGTGTTACTGAATTAACACTTCTAGCAGTTGTTAAATCAACAGCATTGGCAAATTTTGCAGTGACATCCTCTTCCACTCCATCACCATCAATGTCATCCTCGTCATATTCTGCATCATAATATTCATCATCCGCTGATCCCTCCAAATCTCGCCGAGAACGTTTTCTAAAATTTGTTAGCAAACTTTTAATTATGACGTTATAAGTTATAACAATGGTCAAAGAAAATCATGTTGCATTTGAATTTATTATTATGCTAAGAATAAATACAATATAAATGGACATCGAATTAAACTAATTAAAAAAACCTGTAGCAATGTAGTATTAGAATGCTAGTCCCTATATTATTTTATGGACTATTTATTGTCTGTATATATCAATATAATAATTATGTAAGCTATTTAATATTCACCAAATTAACTAATATTATTAATTTATTAATTATATATTGACAATATTAACCAAATAAATTGAAACTAACTGTAATTAACAAGCTATTAAGTGTTGTACTTTGATTGAATTAATGCTTAAATTACAATATTTTACAACTGCTCACAAGTTTATGAGTGAAAGATAAATTTAAGGGTTAAGGTAAAGATAGCCTTCTAAATATGAAGGTGAGTGTAATCATCAAAATAAATAATTTTCATACATTGATGTTTTTTCTGGAAATGAAGTAACAATCATCCACTTTATAAGTGGCACTTGAATATTAGATATATTTTTTAGTTGACTCACGATTGAATCATATTTCATCATTAATGCATTTCCGCTACAGCCCAGCTGCAATAAAAATCATCATGTGTCATTTTCATACAAAATTAAATTTTAAGTATTTAACTTATACTAACTTCAATTTGAATACTAGATACGGAGCTTTGTGTTGGTTTGGTATTTCCATAACCGTATTTGATGGCCTTTTGAGAAACCTGTTCTATTTCCACTGGTGATATATTTTTCATGGTAAGAACACTCTACAATAAGATCAAAACTATCCATTTATTTAATCTTTAAATTACATAATAAACTAAGTCAAAAGTTTCAACGTACACGTGGTATATTAAAATAATCCGAGAGTTTAGTTATTAATTTCACTCTATCACTAGGTATAATGTCTTCTAACTTTCCATCCACAATAAAATATAAAATTGTATTCTTTTTATAATCTGAACAGGATTTTGTTTTATATGAATTTCCATGGTGATTGCTTGCACTGCACACCTAAAATTAGCAATTTACCAATAATGAATACCTGCAAATATTCATGCTTTGGGCTTGTATAGCACATAACATTGTTGAAGTACATATCCCGCAACTTTTCATCTAAATATTAATATTGCATTTAAAAATGCTATTTACTGTTTATAAATATAATACAGTTTCCTTTAATAAATCATTATTGCGCAAATGACAAAATAATACATGCATTGAAATAAATCCCAAATGCAAAATAAACATATATTTCTAAATATAAGGTAATTGTATTTATTACTTATATCATCATGAATATTTATGTTGAATAATTATAAATTTATGAAATTTTGTACTAAATTTTAATTCAACGATTTAGCATATTTTTTATGTAAATTAAACATAGCATGCATAAACATTTTAAATTGCAAACATTCAAAAATTTTAATTGTATGTAAATGATTACCTCAATACTAAATGTGGTCTTAATAATTTCCTCAGAATTTGAATGAGTTATTAGCGTAATATTCAAGTTTTCAATGTCTGATTCACTGGGAACTCCTTGGAATATTCCTGTTGTGCTATCAAAGAGCAACCATTCAGGTACACCATTGATTTCAAACATAGAAGATTTATCTAAATTACAACATTTACTGTTATAAATTTATTTAAAAATATTCAGGATCGAAAATAAAATATCAAAAACAATAATAGTAAGAAAAATTTGAAATAATATTAATAAGAATTCTCAATCATTATTATTTCTCTAACATTTTCTTATTATTATCATTAAAACTACAATTGTCATTATATTCTTTATCATTTTCATTCATTTTTCTTATACATTTAAACAACTTCACTTTAAACAACAACTAAAATTTATTAGAAATAAATATTTTATATTTTTCTCATATAATTAAATCTCTTCAAATGCTATAAAAACAAATAGTGGTATGAACATTTTTAAAATGTGATATACATAGAAATTTGAATTACAGTAAGAGTAGGCGCTTTTATAAATGTAATTACCTATAAATTACATGTTATAAAGCAAGAATATATTATTAATAAATGACTGTACAGAATATTAGTCTGATCCTAACTTACCTGTTAATACATCCTTTGATATTGCTAAGGCTATAAATTTTCCTGCATAGGCAGTGATATGTGGAATTGAGTACTGAAGTGTACTAGTAGGGAGTTGCATAAAATTCACCTAAACAATAATAGATAATTTAATATTATAGTCTATTCATTATAGCACATATATAGCAGTGTCTATCAATTTGAATTGAAAAAAAAAATTAGAACTGATGATTCACATCTAGTGTTGTTCAAATACATAATATAAAAGAAAGTAAGTCCATTGACATAATGTACATATAATATAATAAAAACATATAATAATATATTGTTGTAAACACCCTCTTATTATAGGTTGCTAACCACTGATTTTATATTAAATTTCTAAGTAGTTGAGACTGAAATCTTAATATCTTCAAGTTCTAGCTAATATCAAGGGTTCATATTAATTTTTCTCAGACTATTATTGTACCTGACATGAACATTCTTTTACATTGTACCAAAAACCTACATCGACAAATCCCACTTTTGCCACCAAATGTTAGAAAGATTTTAACATAGATTGTTGGGTTTCCACAATTAAACTTTGAATTTCCGTTTAGAAAATAAAATATTAAGAGAAATTCGATACTCACAGAAAATAATGAATAAATGTTTAATAAAAACAAGAACAAATAATTTTTAAAAAGACGTTTTACAAAACTACTTTTTGGAAGATTAGGTTTTGGAAGGTGCTGCCGGTTTCGACAGCTGACAGTAGACTCCTCTGTTTAATGTTTTAAGAATTTAAATAAGACTAAAATGCTTAGTTAAACATAATTGCAGAAATCTTTCCAGAAGGATTAATCATATGTAAATTCCGCGATGTACTGGGATCCAAATATGATTCGTTTTTTATTACGTGTAATCTTTCTGATAACAAAATTTATCAGAACTCATTGATGTCCAATGTACTATTAAATTATTTACTAAATTATAGCAGTGATGCACAACAATTAATTTAATTACAATATTACAATTAATAACAATAATAAAAATTTAAATTAATGACAAAAACAGATAATTTATGTTTTGAAATATAATTTATTATTATCAATTATTATAATTGATCTTTTTCATTATCTCATATCATACTTTATTATTTGTTTATAAGTTAGTATTTTTAGTATAAACTGTACCTGTAAATCATCCCCAACTTCAAACTGAAAATCATCGACTGAATGAAGTGATTTTGTTTTGGCTATCAGTAGCAAACAAACCAACAAACACAAGGCTCTCATATTGAAAGCTGTTTATACAGAATCTTGCAACATATCAAGATATAGTATACATTAGATCTGCAGTTTTTCAAATACAAGCATACAAAATGATTGCATGGTTGAAAGGTTCACCTAAAAAATGTACAAAAATGTAAATGACACGATTATATATATAAGTTTTACATCATTATATAATACTGCATGAAGATGCAGAACTAATTTAAATGTTATTCTAACAATATGTTCGTTTGGAATAAGCTTTTTTATAATAAAATATACTATTTATTTTAATTTTACATTTAAAATTTATCATAACTCGACGTTTTATCAATTTGTTGTTTCACAATTTTTTCGTGCAATTTTGTGTGTTTTTTTTTGAAAATTTATTTGTATGATGAGTTTCTTTACATTTGTTTATTCTATGTTTCTTTTCTTATATACTTTTCATATATACATCACAATATATATTTGTTATAAAACAAATTTATTAAATTGGTTAGATTTATCTTTTTTTAACATGTTTTTATTTATTTTTGTCTGTAATTATGTATTTTTTATATTGTTTTAAATTGTAATCCTGAAATATTTAATTGTAGCACTGAAGATGGGTCAAATCAAGACCTGAAACGTATGTTTTCTGAATAAAAACATTTTCTTTCAATAAAACTGTTTTTAATTACTGGATGGATTCGCAAGAACAATTTTATCATATTATTTCACCATCTGAAGAAAAACCTCTCGCTTCATATATATATATATATATATATATATATATATATGTGTGTGTGTGTGTGTGTGTGTGTGTGTGTGAGTTTGTGTGTGTGTGTGTGGGATTAAATTTGATCATTGCAGGATTAAATCAAATTGTATTTAAGAAAAAAAAAGTAGATGTTCTGAACTCTAATTTAAAAAAAATATCACATTTTAGTTTATTTAAATATACTTTGGATTGGATTATTATTTATATAACAATTTGATTATAAATGTAAAAGTACTTAAAAAAAAAAATAAAAACTGGGACTGACTATTCTTTTTAATAATATGTCTAGAGTTCAACAGTAATACAGTACAGAACAATAATGCACAAAATTAAATATTTACTTGAGAAGTTAAGTAAACATTTAACCAACACTAAAAAGTGCATCTATCGATTAAAAATTCATTCTGTTATAAAATAATATTCAAATATAATGACCAGTTTTTATTCAGACATTTATCAAATTATTAACACAAAGTAATTAAAATGGATTTAAACTAAACTAGTTCACAGTTTTATTTATAGTTCATGATTGTTTATTTTATTTTATTTATTTATTTGAGTTTATTATGACAAAATATATATATTTTCAGTTCATAAATATATATAACTTTCATTTATTATGTTCGTGATTATTGTGTTAAGCACTGAAGTATAATCAAATGTCTGTGATATTTAGTAACATTTGTTGAAACTTGATGGATTATTAATATAACATGAATGAAGATGCCCGAATAAAAACTTTGTATGTGTGTGTGTGTATATATATATATATATATATATATATATGCATATTACACACTTGGGTGTGTGTAAGAATGTGTTTGTTAGGTTTTCTTAAACAGTTTTGATGTTAAAATATATGAGCCCAAATGTTCAGGGCAGTGGCGTCGGAACCAAATTTTTGATGGGTGGGCTCGTTTTTTTTTTTTTTTTTTTAGATGGGCAGCCAGTGGTCTCATTTTTTTTAGAGATATTAGCCCATATAATTTATTGAAATTGATGGGTGGGCTGAGCCCCCCCATCAAAATTCATGGGTGGGCTCAAGCCCACACAGCCCACACGGTTCCGACGCCACTGGTTCAGGGCAATACAAATATCAAACAAAAATGGAAAAATTTCATATGATCTTTATTATTTCTCTATGTTTCGACATATTATCCTATGTCATCTTCAGTGGCCTACGAATTGAAAAGAAAACAGATTACAAAAAAATTAAACTGTAATCAATGGAAAAGATAAGAAATAGTAAAGGCTGATATAGAAAAATAAAACATAGTGTGATATGCAATGAAAATGATAATAACTCATTTAAACATACATAAAATTATTTGATAATTCAAAAACAATATTATTTCCTCTAAGTTAGCAATGAAACTACATGAAAACTTGACCCACCTACTCTTATTGTTGACATATCTAACTTATGATTTATTGTACATATCTGCATATTTGTGGCTAATTATTTGTATGATTGAATAGCATGATTTTCAAAATATTTTTTTCCTTGGTAAATATCAATGTTAGAAGTAAAGTACATACATGCGTAAGTACTAATTAATTAATTAATACACACACACACACATATATATATATATATATATATATATATATATATATATTCATATGTGATTTAAGATCATTCATACATATATATATCAATATACACATACATATTTATCTATATAATATAAGCGTCCGTATGACTGTAGGGTGTGGGAGTGGAATAATAGAATGAGTATTTGTGCAATGAATAATGCATTATAATAATATTTTATATCTCTCAATTACCTGCTAAACTAAAAATAATATTATTTGCTGTGATATACACAATTTTACGAAAGACACATTCAGTCGACTTAATTCAGTCAAAGCACTCCATCACAATTGAAGTTAATTGATAAAAAAAAAACACATAACCAATTCACATACATCCCATCCCAATGCCATCAGCATCAAATCGTATATTAAACTTATATTTGATCTATGGAGTCGCCACAGTAGTGTCGCATTCGTTAAATATATCAACCCGGTCAAATACCTCGCCTGCATTTAATTATGGCGGCATCTTTTGAAAGTACCTATGATAAGGCAATCGAATCAGCAATAGGTGTAGATCCTGGCTTGCGAAAACAAATTTCCAACCAAATCATGTTCAATAATAATAATGAATAATAATAATATGTATATATGTTTCCTAGACAATATTACAATATGATATTCATATAATATGTACATATATTCATTTGATATGCAGTATGGGGCAGTATCCTAGACAATATAAAAATGCCCTTGTTATTATGTATGTAGTCTTTTAATGCAATTTATTTATTTATTGCATATAATTATTTATTTATGCAGTATGATAATGCATTTCATACAACATTTGATTAACGTTTTATTACTTTTTCGTTGTTGATATTATAAATGAATATCAAATAGAAATATATTTGTGGTAAATCTTTACGAGGAAAATGGGCAATCTAAGTGTTGTTGATCATATTATGTTTTATCTGTAACCTAGAACTAGGAAGCGTTGAAAAAAATAGTTGAATTGAAATTAATATCAAATAAAAACATATTTTCAAAAGCGATTTTTGAACAAAGTTTGTAACATAATTATATAATATGTATACACATTTTGTTTGTGTTCAATAATAAAAATACAATAAATAAAACCACATACTGTTTATTTAAATATTTTATTGGTAAATGTTTTTATATCAAATAAGCAAATACCACATATTGATAGATCATACCATGAAATAAATATAAAATATTAAAGCCACGTTTTGAGTACAAAGCTATAAACATATCCAATTGTTTTATTGTAATTTGCATATCACATTTTTTTCTCCCTCGGGTAAAATTCAATAATTCTTACAAGGTAGCACAGAAATTTCATGTCTGTAGACATCTTGGCGTGAATATATGTACCAATGAGTCCCAACCACAATCAGCAAGCTGACTCTTTTTATTAATATTCCAATCTAAGCCATATGTGAATTCTGAGTGATGTTTAATAACTTCTATAGCGTCCGCTGATTGTTTAAAGTCCCATATCCTACATTATAAATAAAATAACTTATTAAATCCACTTTACTAAACCTTATCATTTATAATTGAATGCATCTACTCTATAATTAAATACTCTTCTTTTATCTATGATTGAATGCTTGGAAGCAAAATTTTAGATTGTTTGTGTATATATTAAAGTAGATTTATGTGATCTAGCATAGCATATATATTTAGGACAATGCAGCAGAAGCAAAATTTTTCATATATTACAGCTTACATAATCTAAGCAGTCTAATAATCTGCATAAATAATAAGTACCATCTTAAGAGTATTATCTAAGAAAGTATACAGTTATTATTCAAATTAACAATATTCATTTAAATCATAATAAGAATCAATGTACTATATATATATATATATATATATATATATATATATATATATATATATATATATATGAGTAAGTTCTTCAAGGGCATACATCAAATAAAAGGCAAAGATTTAGAAGTTAATCTTTAATTTTTCCAAACGTTTCGACATAGTATTTTATGTCATCATCAGTGGATATAAATATGGTCTTACATCAGTAGCTAGCGCAAGGAACACAATTTTGCACTATCATATATACATTAACTTGTTTTTTTTATATTAATTTGTTGAACAGAGTATAGCAAAATATTTGTGAAATATATAATTTCACATAATTTCAAATATTATATATTTCACAAATATTTTGCTATACTCTGTTCAACAAATTAATATAAAAAAAACAAGTTAATGTATATATAATAGTGCAAAATTGTGTTCCTTGCGCTAGCTACTGATGTAAGACCATATTTATATCCACTGATGATGACATAAAATACTATGTCGAAACGTTTGGAAAAATTAAAGATTAACTTCTAAATCTTTGCCTTTTATTTGATGTATGCCCTTGAAGAACTTACTCATATTTCTCAACATCAAAATTAACTACTTTAACATATATATATATATATATATATATATATATATATATATATATATATACACAAACATTAAAAATGAATATAAAATATTATGCTAAAATCATTATATCTATATTTTTGAAAACACAAGCATCCTTCTCAAGTATCCTCTATAAATTATATTTTGGCACTTTATTAATTATTCTGTAATTAGTAGAAATAAATAAATACCTTGTTGTAAAATCATATGATACTGAAGCCAAAATGCTCATGCTATGTGGTGAAAACTGTATCCTTCGAACAGCATATTCACAACCTTTAAGTTCAAAAATAGGCATAGTCATGTTACGAATATCCCATCCTTTTATTAAGCCATCTGATCCAGCAGTAGCTAAAACATTTTGCTCGTACTTGCACCAATCACAAGATAAAACCTTAATGAAAATGATATATAATTTACTTAATTTATTTGATATTAATTCAAGATTAATGAATATTTATATTTACACTAAAAAAATAAAAATATCTTAAAAGTATTGCATAATTCAAGTTCCATTTTCGTTTAAAGTTTACCAAGTTTATCACAATTAATAGACCATAAAATATGTAAATATTCTTGCATTATAATTTTTGTGATACATAACAATTTACAATGCACAACTAAAACATTTCCAAATAAATATTAATGACTGAGGCTTGAAATAAAACATTTCATAAAGTACTATAATGAATAAGCAAAAGAAAAGAATGTAAAATAAATTAGAAGTGTTCATTTAGATAAAACATTTGATAATATAATTTATGAATATACAAAATAAAATATAGGAGAGTTCAATGGATTTACCTCAGCATCGTGAGCCTTGATGCTTGCATCAGGTCTCTGCGAATTCAATGTATTCCATAATTTTAAAAATCCATCTCCGCTAACAGATGCAAATGTATTAGGTATATGCCGTGAAAACATTGCATTATACACCAGTTGTGAGTGGCCTAAGTATGTACTTAATGATGTTAATCTGTTAGGGTCCCACTAAGAAAACAATCAATTTTATAAAAATAATAGAAAATTAAAATCTCAATTAGCATTGACTATATTTATAATAAGTTTTCTAAGTAATGCTTACAAGTTTAACGGTGCAGTCCCATGAAGCACTGAGCATATGCTGTTCCTGTCTTGTTCTGCTCCAATCTACTGAATAAACTTCTTTTTTATGTTCCTTGTAAACACTATGAGGCATTGTTGGAACGTTTGTAATATTCCATAGTTGTAGTCCACCATCACCTGAAGCTGTTATCACTGTATTGGAATCTATCTCTGACCACACCACATCAAACAATCCATCTCCCCACTGGAGGCTTTGAATCTCAATGATGCCCCCATCTGGAGTCAGTTCTAATAAAAATAATGTACCTCCACCGGCTAATCCATAGTATTGACTCGTTGCAACAGCAATTCGGTCAGGTGAGAATGGTGAAAATCTAACAGAATAGCCATGTCGATTTGGTGTAAGGAATGTTGGCATTTTCACTGAAAAAAGAATTTGTATATAAATCTGCTGTACACTACAAATAAGGATAGTTACTGTGTAGTATGTATACTCATAAAAACATTTTAGATAGATGTATTGAAAAATAAGTTTTATTAGACAATGTAAAGTATTGCTGAAACATTATGCAAATATATTTGTATTGAGCATTAAGAATATAAAAAATAATGTTTTGTAAATATTATCTATTATCTAATGAATGTATAAACCATAAATATATTTTCACATGCCTTGATTTTCCACATTAGCATTGTAATAAACGTTCTCACGTTTCTCCAATAATTAATTAAACATTATAAACACTTATTAATAACGTTATTAAATGTTTTGCAATTCTCATCATTCGATATTCTCTAAAGATTCTGTATAATATTTTATAGCGAGAAATGTTAACATGAAAGTAATTAAGTCATTGTGTTTATTTTTAATATGACAAAATTAACAATAAACAGAAACAAAAACAAAAAACACGATTTAAAGTAAGTAAGCGATCGGCAGTGATACATTCGCGTATTCTTCACCTTCACGTTACCAATTCGATTCTAATAAACACATATTCTATTCATCACTTTTAGGTTAAACAAATGTGTTTTAAATCATATTGGAATTATCAATATGATAAGATTAGGTTATACTGATGAGGTTATCAGATATGTCGTCTGATATTTACAATATCTAGTCTAAAAGTACATAGTTTGTCACAATCAAATATCGACTCTTGACATTTCCGAGCATATCAATCGTCTTTTTATTAATCAAAGCATTTTTCACGTAGCATATGTCATCTAATGTCGTCACTTGTCAGACAACTGCATTCCATTTCAAAAGATAAACTAGTGGTGCATGGCATCGTGCCTTAAGGCAAATTGCTGGTACTTCCTGTACCAAAAATTATTTTTATCTAAAAAAGATAAAAGATTTTTGAGAAATTTTAATTTTTGACAAAAATTTACTTTATTTTTAAAAAAAAGACTTACTGAAAAAAATGTTTTCTTTATTTTGAAATATTTTGGAAATTCTGAACTTTTTTTGAATTTCTGAAGCAATCGTATTGCTTTAAGTGCATAGAGACGAATTATCGAAGCGCGTAAGCGCCCCGTCGCCGTATAACGGACAAACGATGTTACAGAACCCATGTAAACCCATGTAAATGTAAATAAAATTTATACGTATTATTAAAATCTTCATAAAATATCTGATAATTTGCTGTGTCTCTGTCTAATGATTATTTGTGACCTCCAAATGGCTTTTTTTTAGTTATTTTACTAGATCTTCGAAAACGTTAGACCCGCCTTTCCGAAAATTTAATCAGTTGTTCATCTTGTCAATACAAGTGAAATATTTTTTGAATTATTCAAATCGGACGCTCCGTTCTCTTAAAAACTGAGTTACCGTTTGTAGCACTTTTTGCCCCGTATCTTCGAAACGGCTAGACCTGCCTTTGCTAAAAACTAATCAGCATGTTTCCTTATCAACAGCAGTCGAATGTTTTTTGAATAATTAAAATCGGTTAAACCGTGTTCCCGAAATCGCCGACGAAAATTTGTATCCGCACACACACACACAAACACACATTTTTCTAAAGTATGCCAAAATGTTCAGAAACCATTGAAACGTAAAGATATGCAAAACTTCACTTTCGATTTTTTTTTTCGAATTCTATAATTTACTCTTCTTTTGGCGTTTCAAGATATTCTGCATCGAGACCAAAATTGGAAAAAGTATGTGTGAGTGTAGATGATGCAATTTTTTACCTTTCGTCGACGTTTTCTCAAAAACGGCTGCACTGATCTCAAAAATTAAAAACCCATTCGATAAAACTTGATTAGTACTCGCGTTACTGTTTCTTTACAATTGAAAACTTTTAATTCCACGTTTTAGCCGCAATTTCTTTGGTTGTATTATAATTATGTAGTTTCCGGTAAAGATTGTCCGAACCGTTTCTTCGTAATTAAATATAAAAAAATGTATGCGTTTTTAATGATACTAAGCTCTAAACAAACATCCTACATTTTTTTAGTCTTAAGAAAAGTGGTTAAATTACAAAAATACAACAACTTATTGAGTTGTTTTTTCAACATGTCATTATAGTATACAATGTCCCTTCACGGCTGGCAATTGTAAAATCGCCAAATTTTCTAAATGTCCTTAACTGAGCAGTTGTAAATACAATAAAGAATAATAAAAAAAAGAATTACAAAAATAAATTAAAGTTCGGATAATGGACCGGTATTTTAAGACTTACGCGCCCGTGCTTGTGCACTATAATCAATACAGATAATTCGACTTTTTATATGATTAGATTTTAGTACAAACGAAAACTTTATTTTCTAAAAAAACATCTAAAATTATTATCTAAGTAGCTAAACCTAAATTCTTATCAATTAATTCAAATATATACACTTATCGCAAAGTTCATGCAACTCTGCCTTAAAGCTAAATGCCACTTACACCCGGTTTCATTTTGTTTGATAATGCTATATCTTAATTACGTGACGATCACGTGGTGTGCCTTCAGTTTTCAAATTAAATCTTCTTTTTATGAATGATTCAACGTCTACAATTATCTTTCTTTCACTTATTTTTCTCAAACTTGATTATGAAATAATTGAATTTGATGATTTATACAAAGAGAAATAAATACATAAGTATTACTAATAAAAGTCAATAAAATAAGTAAATTAAATTAATTTAAACATTTAAATGTTTCAAGAGACAAAAAATATCTTGCTTAGAATAAGATTGTTATTAGAAATATATTCTGAAGTTTACCTATTCTTATCAAAAATATATCCAACTAGAATTACATTCTAGTTGGATTATAAGCTCTGAATATCGGATTCTAGTTGGATTAAAAACTCTTTTCGTTATATAATAAAGGATAATGAACCAATAATAGTATAGTATCTTATAAACTACAAAACTCTAGTTGAAAACTTGTGTTAAAACGTAGATGTTCAATAATGTGTAATGTACAACTGAAAAGTATAACTTTTTTCTTCTTTTTATAATTTTTAGCTTTTTGCCTCTACGTGCACAAAATAAATAATACGTATGTTGAAGGCAAACAAGCAATTTTATAACAATAAAGAATAAAATTACAATATTCATAACTTATTTTTTGATAATTTATTTAACAATTTTTTGTCTTATCATAACACTTGTTTAAGCTTATTTATTAACAAAAAATTAATTGAAAATAATATTCAAACTCTTCAATTCTTAAAACAAAATTATAATTTTAAATACTTGAAATTAAATTTAACATTATTTATTTCTATTTTCTTCCTTCTAATCACCAATAAAAAATTAATAGTTTCATTAGGAATAATTAGAGAATGCGGAATTTGTGCATAAAATTCTACGGCCTTATTTTGTTAACATTGATTTATTATTAACATAGATTATCTACAGAGGAATCTCTTCAGTGGAGGAGACCTCTAAATGACATATTTAATGGATCACATAAGCTCATAGAAATTTGTATTTAGATTGTCTATAAAAAATAAAGAAAAAAAATATTCTACGGTCTTTTAAATAGTGAAAGTTTCTTATGAGCTTCCAAAATGGGGAGGTTTTTCCATACAAATTTTGAATGTAACATTTTTAGGGATTGTTAGAAGTGATAAGTGTATGAATAAGTGTTTGAATTTTAATTTGATTTGAATCGGAATATATACTTGAACATATTTTTCACACCAAGCTTTAAAAATTGGTATCCTTAGAGACCTCGAACTAAGTATTTCGAGCAAATAGCTTGATAATACATATTCTTATGAATAAATTTGGTAATAAAAAACATTTTATTCAATTTTGAAACTGTACGATCTGGATATTTATATTCAATATAATTGATATATCATAATTTTAAATAATTAAATAAATTGTGTTGAAACTACAGCCAAATTTTCGAAAAAAATAATAAGTTTAACTTGTAACGTCTTCAATTAAAAGTGTCTTCCATGAAATAATGATATTTTAGGCTTTAAAAATCCCAATTTAACTTTTCTTCACTGGACACAACTACAAAATATATAATAAATATTTAAAATAATAAAAAATATATAATAATATATTATAATAATCAATGAAAAATAAATTTTATGTAAATATAATAAATGTTATATAAATATTATAAATATATAATAAACAATTTTTTACTGATTATTTTATAAATTTTTATTATTTAGTATATTATTTTTATGTTATACTTTGTAGTTATATTCACCGAGTAAGAACATATATTATTAATTACTCATATATATAAAATAATATATATATATATTTATATATATATATATATATATATATATATTACTAAATCAGCGTATTTAACTTCAATTAACACATTCTGTTTTTTGTGCTCTTAATTCACAATCAACACATTATATTTCGATTAAACACATGTTTTATAGTACATTTAAATTAAAAATCAACAATATAGTATACCTGTCATTTGGAATTATACACACAAAACAACTAAAAAAACTAAATATTTTCAAAGATTCAAACTAAAACTAATTATTTCTCTAAATATCTGAGAAATTCAACTGCACAATGTTACGGAATGACAAAACAGTATCAACTGGTTAAGGGCATTTAAATGTTAAATGTCCATTCTTGAATTTTTAAAAATTCGTTAGCGGTTACCCCACCATCGAATTTTAGTACGGGATGATCATTTAAATGTCCACACAAAGGGGTAGCGACCCCACCCCTTCCATTTGAATTGTTCAATTTACCTCGACCCAAATCGGAATCGGAAGATATCGGAAATGCCCTTCGGGCTCAACAACTGAAAGTTCCGTACCATGAGTCCAAGACCGTCCACACGATGCAGGACGTACCTGGTGAAAAATTGACTTTATATTATGGTTTCCATGTATTTAAATCCTTCTGCCAGAGGTTACATATATGTGACTGCAATTGAAAATTCAAAAGACGCAAACAATAAGTTATATAAATGTACTTTATAAATATTTTATTGAAAAAATCTATGCAAGTTCTTCTAATATATTTGATAACAACTATAATAGTTGTAAAGCGAGAAAAAGGAATATTTTTTTAGTTTTTATACTTTGAATAAATGAAAATGCTACATTAAAAATATTGTAACTAGGTGTAAGTGGCATTGTGCTTTAAGGACATAAAATTCTCGACTGTTTATTTCAAATATCAAGTTTCACTAAAAACTAATCAATGCGACTACTTATATCAAGTTGATATATTTCAAAGCTTTAATGATTTTTTATAAATCAACCACTTCATATGTCTATATTACTTTAATATGTTCGATTAAATGGTTCATGTTACATTATCCTTAACCGATATCTTTCGAACGGTTTTTAAACTTTCAAAACCTGTACAAGATCTTTGGACGCAAATTTTCGCACTTTTCTGCTCATTCTAACGAAATGCATCGTCTCGAAAAACACGTTAACGAATTAAAAACGAATTAAAATTTTTTAAAGCACATTTGT